GAGAAATTGGACATGTAATAGACACAAAGGGTAGGCTGGTACATTTATGATATTAGACAGTAATTTGGAGAAATCATGTTATTAAAAAGTACTATCTTTTTGTATTCTATTTACACTCATGATGCTTTCAACATTGCTGATCCTTAAAGCATTGCGTAGGATTTGTCACATATGATCCTGCTGACAGCCTTTTTCTCCCTCAAGTTCTCTGTACTTGTAGCCCAGAAGTAAAGCATGGAAGTGCAGAATGCTAAGGTCTGGGGCTTGATTCCTGATAAGGACTTAAATCTTTTTCTTTCTCTTTTGTTCATGGTGAGACAAGTAACATCTTTTTTAAGTTTAGTGTTCTTCATAATAGTTCAGCTACTAATTTGTATATCTTTTTCAGCCTATGTCTGTAAGGAACATTCAGATCTTGTGAAATGTGTAGTTTGTCACGAATCAAGAGTTTACAGTGGAGGGTATGTTTAGATTGAATAACATTTAACTAACATTACAGAAAGCCAAAACCTGTGTTGTTGAAGGTTTACTTAGAGAAAGACAAATGTTAGACTTTTCAAAAACACAGGAAGATTTCGCAGAAGATATGTAAATTTTTATACATTTTAAAGGACGTAGTTTAACCTATAACTCCATTGTAAACTAAATTTAATTTTGACAAACAAACTACAGAACTATATTGACAGATGAACTGTTGAAATGTGTAGTCACCTGAAAAATTACAACATATAATCCCAATAAGTTTCACCCTACTTTGATCTTTTTACCCTTTGACCTCCAAGAGTGATAAGCATCTTATTTCTCCTCACATTATCTCCCCTGAATTATACATTAGGGTTATGAGAATACAGGAGATGATCACCAACTGAAAAAGCTTTTGATTGTTAAACAAATTCTCCTTGTCAGCACCTGAAGAAATGTATGCAGAACAGTATGGAGAATATCAATCAAGTGCAGCTAACTGATGTTGGGGTGTGAAGGGTTAAATGCTATTTTTCAATCTTCCAAACTGCATAATTCTGCAAAGTAGTCTTTGAGTATCAGAGTTGGCAGACAGTGTTGGCTCAGATTGTAGGTGTTTCATCAATGTATTTTACAGGTATGACCAGAAGTTAGTTGTTTACGATTCCACTTTTTCATACAAAGGAAACAAGAGTTTATCAGTTGTAACAAAGTAAGGTTTGAAAATCATTCAATTTTAAGCATTTAGACCATGATAAATAGTAGCTCCCTTCTTTCTGTACTTTAGATGCTAACAATTTCAGGTTTTCTCATTCTTACATACCTGTGACATTTCAACATGATATGACTCTGAAATAGGGTTCAAAGTTATTGGCCAAAAAATTTCATTAAATAAGGAAATGAACTTAGTTTACCACAATTTAGATTCTGGGTTTTTTTCCTGACTTGGTCAGGTCACTGAGCAATAAGTAAATGAATATTTAGCAACACTTTAAAGATGTTATTTATCACCAGTAATTTTTCATAGCTTATGACTGCAGGCTTAGATTCCGTGCATATATTAATTAAATGTTTGGCATATACACAAGCTTAGATTATTATAGTCATACTTTCTGCAAATTTGTTTTTCAGGGTTAACAAAGCACATGATGCAGGAATAATCTGCATGTGCCTGGCACGAGACTCAGACAACAATACATGGTAAGTTACAGACTTTGTACATATAAATGGGGAATTAATTCAGGTACCTTGTCAATTTTACTTTTTAATTTTCAATAAGAGTTGTCACCTATCTAATTTTGGTTGTGTTCGAACAAAGACAGTTGTTGCCATTTATTGAATGTACAATGTATAAGCAACCTTTTTGTTGAATTTTTTCAGGGTGTTAAGTGGTGCTTTTGATAAAGTTGTTAAAGTTTGGTCTCAAGATGGACAAGTCATGCATAAATTTGATGGATTCAGGTACAAGATCTAAAACAAAATGAATTCTTCTAACTGATGACAGTACATTTTACGGTTGGCCTTTACTGAGAATTTTATTTCAATTGTGTAGTAAAGAACAATATCCCTTATTTGATGAATTCTTTATTCTTAGAAACTGTCTTTTTAACAAATAATTAAAACTTAGGAGTGTCAGGATCACCTATTTTTCCAAAGATCCTGATTTTGACAGAAACATTTAAGTGGTGTCAATTAATTTGACTTTGAACCAGATATGTACTTAAGCAAGTCTTTGCACATCTCTTTTGCATTATTACCAGATACCCTCTGTCAGAAAAAAATAACTGTATCTAAACAGCGACTGACATAAAGTTTAATGTCTCTGATTTTTTGTTTACTGGACTGTTTTGCTGTTTACAGTACTGCAGTTACTGGAGTCTGTTATGTTAGACCAATCAAGACTATCTGGGCAGCAGCAGGCACTGCTGAAGCTGCTATGTATGATCCAAAATCAGGAGAAAATGTAAGTCAGTGATACAATTCTATTATTTGCTTTTGGACAGCTCAAAGTAACTACACATGATATTTTGAATGGTTTTGTGAAACAAGTAAAATTCAAGAGAAGGTTCAGAGTCACCTTAAATCTTCAAAATTTAAGGTGGCACTTTTGTTAAAGAATGAATTTTCATATACCAGATGTGATTTTCAGATGAAAAATGGGGTCACCTGGTTCACTAGTGAATTACATTAGGTTGAAATTAAGGGTGTTTTAAGAGACTATAGTGTTGCTATGGTCACCTATTATGTCAAAAAGTGATTAATACTTGTTTGCTAAAGATTGGGCTTGTCTTTACAACTTGATCAAGAAGACAAAGGATGTTAGAATTGTGACAGTATTTACAGTTTGTTACTAAAGAATTGATGCTATAACTTGATGAAAGCAAGAATGGCTATGTGCCACCTTAATTGAATATTTCTCATAAAGACAGGAAAGGTCATCCCTAGAGAGCAGTCTGCCCTCTCCCTCCACTTCCTCCTATCCCTTCACTTTGTCCCATCCTTCCCCTCTCTCTTCTTCCTCCCCTCCCTCCCCTCTCTTTGTAAAATTACTCATTAACACCTTGTCAATATGCTATTACACAACTTTTTTTAATTTGATTAAGCTGAAGTAAAATGAGAATGCTTGAGGTGAACAAGATTCACATCTCTTGCAGGTGACAGATTTCATAGGAACGTTTCAAGATGAGGAAAGTAATGGGTAGGAGAGATTAACACTTTGATTTCTAAGAGTGACCAGCATCTAAATTCTCCTTACAATATCACTCCTGAAAAAAACATTAAGGTCATGAGAATAAAGGATATGATCACCAAATAAGGAAGCTCTTGATTATTCAAGAAATTCTCCTTGTCAGCACCTTAATAAATGTGTAGAGAACAACATGGAGAATTTGTCTGCTGATATTAGGGTGTAAAGGGTTGATGCAATGTTAAGAGGTTCATTCCCAATCACATGTCACTACCATGAGAACTCAAATTTCAGATAAAAATGTCTATACAATTATATACAATTAGGAACAATTTATTTGTATTGGTGAAAGTGTTCTGGTCGTTAGTTTGTGGAGTGTTTTCCCATCTTGAATTTGTTTCATCCTTTTTTCTAGTTTTCCTCTGGTGTTATTTCACTATATCTCTGACTTAGGACACGTAATAGGTAGGTGCTCTGCATATCTTTTAACTCACTCAGACTCTAGGAGATTGTCAGAAATTGTAAGCCACTAAACACTGGTGAAAAATGAGCAGTGAGATGCACTTCCATTTAGAGTCTTCTCTGTTTCCATTTGGGTTTCTGAGCTCGTAATCTCTAATTATTATTCATAACTGGCTGCAAATTGTAAAGGGCAGCCCAGTAAAAATGATATTTTTACTGTGTAAGGGGCTAGGGCGTGGGCAAGATTTTCTTGAGGAAGGGGGGTAGGTCTTGGAGTGACAGCTCACCGGCAGTAAGGGGAATGCCAGATTGTTTTATTGTTATAAGTTATCATTTTTTCTTGACAAGGGGATGTCAAATGCACCACAAGGCTCCCTCCCATCAGCTATGCTTTAGAAGCAAACTGGAGGGGAGAGGGGCTTGTTTTTTTTTAATTCCTGCATGACAACTTTGTTCCCACAACCTGAAAGCACGCTAAGTAGACGCAACAAACTTCGCACATGCGCAGTAGTTTGACAGCTGAGTTTAACAAACCCATTGAGTAACAGTTAGGGGAGAACCTGTACCTAGGACCACAGGACCCCCATTATGTCTTTGTGAGTTGTGATGCATATGATTTATAATTTAACACTTGAAATCCTTTAGGAACAAACAGCAGGCGACATCTGATTGTGTGGAAATACAATTCATCTGGATGTTTAACAACACTAAAGAACAAGTGTGCAATGGAGTCTCTTACTTACAGTACGTAATTTCACGTTCCATATTGATATTTTCTATGGATAACAACTGAACTAATATTTGTCAAAAGATGAAACCAGTAACCTAACTCAACGAGGAGTAATTTGCAGCTCAGTGGGAGAGTATCGTAACGCGGACTCTGATAGTTCTAGGTTCGATTCCTCCTAGGGGCTCAGTAAATTTCTTTGTCCCATGCTGATGACGAGGCGAAAAAATTACATGCCTCTGCAAATGTCAACAACTTCCGGCAACGTACAAACTTACAGACGAAATTAACCCTTTACACCCAAAAATCGGTTTGCACATTTTCCAAACTGTTCTATGGTGCTGACAAGAAAACTTGTTCCCTGATACCTTATACATGATATGCTATGTAACATTTAAGTTTACCTATCCTTAGCCATGCTAGATCACTTATATCATTATTTTTCGACATTTTTTCCAGCTCGGAAAGTTCCTCTTTTGATATTCAGTGGAGGTAGTAATGGTCACGTGTCTAAGTGGGAACGACTTCAGTCAAACAATTTCATGTATAGGTAAATAAAGATCATCCTCGCTCTCCCCTCCCTGAATGTTATACTCGAAAATTTAAAATCATCTTAAATGAATGAATGAATAATGAACAAAAAATGGAGTGAAATGAATGAATTCATGAAGAAATGGATTTATAGATAGATTTACAGAAAGGGAGATATTTTACGAAATTTTTGTTCATCGGTTTATTTTTTTTCTTTGTCAGACTCGAGTAAGAGCCACATGTTTAAGATGTGATGTATGCTATTAAAAGTAATATTTTTTGTGACTTTTCAATTTTGCTGGGATGCTTGACAAACATTAGAGGCCATCGCGCTATCACTGGACATCATTCGAGCTCTTCTATGATTTTCCTTTCACATGGTTGTGTTGCGTATTTATTCATAGCAGAAATCTGCATGATGTACTCGAAAACTCTTCGGTCGATCTTAAGGAAACCTCGGAAGTCTTCGTGTAATCTCCGGAAATGGTCTTGACGTCATAAGATGTGTAATATCCATGCTCTGTGTGTTTTCGTCTACAGCAAAGAGATGTTCTTACAGAGTGAAGCCAAGTCTCGCTTAGCAGCTCAGATCGCGGCCAAGTTCGATTGGCGCAGTCCAAACAGGAGTGCTAGTGGTGAAAACAGGCCGAGACCTTCCTTCCTAAATACTATAAACCAGGTATATATCCAAAAGTAACTTTAAAAAGAGGTTTAAAGTAAGGCTGGCTTGTAAAACCAATCCTGGTGTCGGTTATCCCATTGTCAGAAGCATGAAGCGTCTAAGACTAATGCTACTCCTATTGGACGTTAGTCCATCGCAAGATTTTTCGGTTTCATTTGTACTTCTGGGCAGAGAGAAGCGTGGTGAGGGTTAAGTGTCTTGCCTCAGAAACACAACACAATGACACTAAATGGAGTCCAGCGGGCAAACCACGTGAACACCGTGTCGCCCACAACATGCTACTTACATTTGTTATTAGAAGTTTTACTAAAATTATTTGGATTATTAGTGAATAAAGAAAACTAACCTCTCCAGATACCCGCCACAAAAGAACTTGATAGTAATTTACCGAACTGAACAACAGTCACTTACAAATTCCTTGGTACTCGTATTGTTTTCAGTCATTACATAGATGCTTTAGTTAACCATACGAGAGCAAATATTGAAAGGTAAAAAGATTTCCCGCCCAAAATGCACGTACGCGCGTACACAAGCGTCATTATGGCGGGAAAATCGCCAGATGGCTTGGTTGGTTCTAAGATTGTGCGATTTTATGTACAAGAAACTTGTACGCAATTTTCACCAAGAAAGAGCTCTCACAAGACTCTCTAACTTGACAATTTTGTGTCTTAAATTCCTTTTAATGTTTCAGATGTCGTCTGCTTCTGAACACACCAGCAACATTTCCCTGTTGAGATCCGTTTTTGTGGAGAACCTTGATTTATTAGTAGTGGCATCAGAAGACAATAATATTTGTAAGTAAATGCAAGGGTGAGGATTGGATGTTTTTAGGGGAGGAGGGTTGGGGTCACACCGTTTAACACCCAGGGTACCCACCACGGGTAAAATTACATGAAATTGAAAACATTAGATAGGCTTGACCTGACCTAAAAGTGTTATAATTTTATTGTGTGCGAATGTTTTTCAGTAGGGTTGTTTTCGTTGCTTTGGCATTTTTCTCCATAGATAAAAGTCCGTTCGGCTGATTCGTGCGTTTTACGGTTCACTGACGCTAACTGAACACTGAAAAGTCCTCCTATGAAAGTGACCTTCCTAATGAAAAAAAAAATCACCCTCTATCTTATAAACAAGTAGAGTTATGCTTCCTCGTAAAATTAGGGATTGGTATCTTTTTTAGTATCAGAATTTGTAAAATTTTCTGTAACTTTTGATGACAGGCGTGATATTAATTGTTTGATTTTTGTCGGCCCCATGCGATTACCTGTGCAAATTTTCTTCCAGAAGGTTTGAGATTGCAATGACAGTGGGTGGTTAAAGCTGTGTCTTTTGTTTGGACAGATGTGTGGGGCTTTGACGAGGACGCTGTCAAGGTTCTGGAAAACATGAGACCTGCAGACGAAAATCTTATTTACAAATACGCAATTCTGCTCGGTGAAAAGGCCTTCAAGCCTGTGAAAAAAGATTTAGAGGTACGTGTTTGCCTTTCACCTTCTTACTTCAGGATGCATATTCTCCATACTGTTCTGTTTACATTACCCAAGGTGCTGATAAGGAGAATTTCTTTGACAATCAAGAGCTTTTTTCAGTTGATGATCATTACCTTCATTCTCAGGACCTTTTGTGTAATTCAGGGGTTTTATTGTTAGGAGAAATTAGATGCTGGTCAGTCCCAGGAGTTAAAAGGTTAAGAGATGCACATCTTCCATTCGTAAAATGTATCATGGGCAGCTCTATTTTTTTATTGCGCATTAATCAGTTACGCGACATACATATTAAGAAGTTAAATCTTAGTTTTGTAAGCATTTACAGGTTGTCTTCTCACAATAACTAAATGACATATTCCTTATTTACCACCCATATCTACGTCACCTAGAATCTTAACATTACTTATTGTATCCTTTGGCGAACTGAATAAATAAATTAATAAGTAGATAAGTGATAACAATATTTAAAACTTCTCACATATTAAGCAGAACTTTTGATATTAGTATTCTTGACCCGCAAATTGGCTTTCCTTCCCTTTTGATCATTTCTTCTTGCTGTGTTCACATAATAGGCGTTGAATCTGTCAGATATTCTGTTTTGCTTGTTTGTGTTTGGATAACTTTTTGAGAGCCTGTTTCCAAATAATTACTTACTCTGTCTAACTATGTGTCATGTTTATTAACAGGGCTCTAAGGAGCACGATTCAGTAACCAATAGGGTGGCAGGATTCATTTGTAAACACGTGTTCACAGAACATTCCAGCTGTGTAACCGGGCTGGCTGTTGTGGGGAGAGAGGCTGGGTACAATACAACATACTTGGTGAGATTCATTTTGTTGTAACCGTTGATTAAAGTTAAGGCTTTAAGCAATCCTCAAGATTATTTTCCGATCTATTCAAGATAGCATTCTTGAACGACAGTTTTGTTATACAGCGGGGCGCCATTGAGAGAGAGAATATTCTTGAACAGCAGAACCATGTTCGAGGCGTTCAGTTGGTAAATATAAAAGTGAGCTCGATGGGCATAATGTTAACAGCTGAGCGATAAAAGGCGCGAGGTTTTCGGTCAGATTGAAAAAAAAAATGTTTGGGATGAGTCGTGTAACGATCAATCATTGAGGTGTATCAGATTCTGGTCTACTGAAACAAACTTTTGTTAAAAAGTTTCACCAGCGTATATTACGCGACTCGAGTCAAACCTCCTTACATTTTTCACTTTGCCGCTTCTATGGCGCCGTTTTACTCTCGCGCTTCGTTTTATCAACTGAACGCCTGAAACAGGCTAAAGTACTGATGAAGTAGGAACTTATGCACTTGAGCACTGTAACAGTTCAGTTTATTTTGTACCTTTTCTTCGTCTTTCAGCTTAGTGCTGGCTGGGATCGACGGATCTTCTTGTGGGACCTGGAAGCATCATGGTAAGACTCGTGAAATATGTTCACACCATTTAATATTCCCTTATATTTAGAACTTCTAACCCTAAAATTCTTCCAAATAACTCAATTAATGCTTATACCTAACTTATACCTACTTGTCAAGACTAACAAGCTATTTGCTGTCGTCCTAACATTTTTCTTTGAAAGCTATCAACATGATGTAAAACGAAATTTTACGTTGCATTTTGTATAGTTTTCACGACACATTCCGCAACACTGATCCCAGCGCCCTTGAGAGCGATGAGCTGGCCTCTGATGGTATCATTATGGACCTAACCTATAGCGCTGAAAGGTATGACTTGGTATTCAACGCTCGATTCAGTAAACGGCAAACTTTCATTTGAAGAGAGGAGTCAGTCTTATCCTTCAGTACCTCAAGGTACCTCGGTGACTCTCGGGGATAGGATGATTTAGTGTTATCGATTGAGTTTATAATGTGAATTGGTCACCGGGGATTGGGGCGAGGAACCGGCTGACATTTTACGCTGGAAAGGAAAGAAGGAGAAATGTTGGGTTTTGACTGTTGCACTGGACCTCAATTGATAGGCCTAAGTTCCAGGCCAAAAGAGTGTCAATACATTGTAATTTTAGATTAGGACTACAAATTGTCAGCTGTCAGCGGAACATGGCAAGGGTAAGGTATAATGAGTAATGCAAAAAATTAACCCCCCCCCCCGAGGAGGAAAGAGGACTAACGGGGAGGTAAAGAGGCGCTTTCGAACCGCCTCTATAAGTGTTATGGACATCTTAGAAGAACTCTTTTTTGATGAAACACTTGGGCAGTTTTGGACAACAGCTTTTTTGCGCATATCAAGTTCTTTGTATCCATGTTATTCTGCCCTCTTTAGAAATGAGTTCGCTTATGCTTCGTCTGACAAGTTGGTGTACATTAGACAGTTCTCTGACCGCGGTGCAGAAATGACTTTGTCAGCGGTGTTACAGGGCCACGAGGCCGAAGTTACACAGGTAAGAACGCTTCAATCAAGACTCGTTGCCAGGTTCCTCTCGGTCTTGGCGTTTATTCCGATGGTGTATTCAGGGTACGGGTTTAGTTTTTTATGAACATGCATCAAATAATGTTTTCCAACACGTATCATTTGCTTCTTGACTATATTTAATATTTTTGCAGAAAAAAAAAGTTTCTGTAGTATAGTTATTCGAGTCATCAAGCTGCTAAGCGTTTACGACGACATTATTTGTGTGATCAATAATTTTTTACTTGTCGAAAGGTTCGCTGGAATGCTGTGTTGAGCAAATGGATCACGGGCTCAGAAGATGGAACTATTCGTATCTGGGTAAGGTCATCGTGTACTGTGTGACTGACATCTTGAAACTGTATATTTTGAAGCAGGTGCAATGGAGCACCAGTAAGTGTGCAAGGAATAACCTCTTACTGACCGGGTGTGAGAGCCATACTGGGTAATATTGGCCTGAGGCAGTCGTAGCAGTTTGGACCGAGTGCAGCGAGCTCCGTGACAAACGACTGAGGGCTAATATTCCCCAGTACGGCTTGTGAAAGCGAGGTATGGAAGTGGTTTGATATATGGCACTCGCAAAAAAAAAACTTGTTTGATTTGAAATTGCCGGCTTTTTGGAGCAAAAATACACGGCTTATGACCGTTTCCGTGGAAAAGGTCCGTATGGCAAAATCCCGACCAGCTAAGAACCAATCAGAACGCCGAGATTTACCTCAGGACTACCTTGCCACATAATAAACCAGGGCTATGACTGATCTTTAAAACTCGCCCCACTCTCTCTTAATCAACAAGGCGCGAAATTAAATCAATGGCGACTCGGCAACTGCTTGTGAGGGCTTTTAAATGTTTTTACTCTGAGTTCTCATTGGCTGCTTGTGATATTTTCCTTTGTGCTGATTGGCTATTGCGATTACTCTGGTTGTGAGATTATCATAGTTCATCGAAAACCGCTCTGATTTATTTGTACTTTTGATGTTGTTGCTGATCGCAGAGAGGAGATGGAATGGGGTGCGATGTGGTGCTCACTGCTCAAGGAGCTGTTTCAGCTCTGTGTATTGATCAAGTGAACGGCTGTATTGTGGCTGGAGTCCAAGAAATCATCAGGTAAAGATTTCGTGACATGTATGACAAAGATATCTTGTTAGAGTGGCCGTTCGTTGTCACGCAAACAGGTAATGCAAACGTGCAAGAAACATATTGGATGTCTTTTTGTAGTGTCGGAATTGTGTCACGCAAACAGGCCATGAGAGTGTGTGGCGAATGTTGCAGCAAAATTACAGGGGCAAATGCCACCCAATTTTTATTGTTTCATTTCCAGGGTTTATGATCCAGACACACGCAAGATTGTGCAGAAGAATCTTGGACACACCGATTCTGTGCGATGTATTATTCATATTCCTGAGAGGAGTCAGGTATTTCTAATTTTTTTTTTTTACGGTTGTAGTTATTAGCTTGCTAGGAACTGTATGGTATGATTTTGAGAATAGGGTACAAACTTCTGGCGTGGAAACGAGGTTAAGAATTCTTTGCCTCAATTTCATGGTATTCAGGCCCCAGACCCCTCGCATGTCAAATTTTGAATGTTCTTGGGTATGCTTTCAATTTTTTTGACCCGTTACCTTACGTTGTTCTTTCAGTATATTTCCGCTTCTTGGGACAAAACTGTAAGGATATGGAACGCATACAAGAAAAGTGAGTTTCTTGGTTTATGCCAATTGATTTCGTTTGTTACCGCATGAAGGCCAATGCACCTTGGAACCTTGCAATTACGTTTAAAAAAAAAAAGCATCGCATGACATTTTACTTTATGGTAACTTTCAGCTCGCAAAAAGCCTGCGAAAGAGATGACAGACTTTCCTGACTCAAGCAGTGGTAGTTTTTAGTGTTATCTGAATGTGGTGAAGAACAATCCGAGTAAGCCTCCTTTGAGTTCACGTCAACTGGACAGTCCAATTTCTTTTCCATAAATTGTTTCTTACATTAACTGTGTGCGTCCGGACTCATCTTGTCAGCCTTGTCTTTGAACGCTGGATATAGTGTCACGCTGTTTAAGTGTCACGCAATACTTTTTTGATCTGACGATGTAATGTATCGCGAAGACTTGTGTTAGGCAAATGTTTAAAATATCTCTTCCTTTGTATACGTAACGCCGTAAGAGTGGACTGAGAGAAAAGGTGTATAAAATTTTCATATATTTCCATGTATAAAATTAAGAAAAAATTTAATGATATATACATATATTTTATTGTAAGATTAATT